GTTTTATTTAAAAGCTATGAATCGATATGCCTCAGCATGGGGTTGCACATTGCTTCTACCCAGACCTTCGATAGCTCCAAGTCTTTTGGGAAGCAATGAGATCCCACTTGTAGGCACACCGATGTACAACCAGGAAAAAAAGAGGAAATCTTTCTTCGAAGGAGGCATTACGAAGCTCTAAGATATAAAAGTAGAAGAAAAATAAGAGAAAAGAAAACAGAATAGACAAATAAGAATAGAAAAGTAAGAAAGTATGAAATAGGGTTAGCCTGGAAAGACGAGTCGTGTAGCCTTCATCTAGTTGCCGTAATTCTTGTAAATCATCGTCCACAAAATTTCCACCAAATAAATAGTCTGGATGTTGAACACAATCACGCTCAAAGAGAAAACTCTGCACTGTAATTGCACTGAACACACTTCAAAATTCACCAGCGTAAATTCGTAGATGCAAAGCCGTCGCCAAATCGGAAGACAGTGACGCACAGGGATTTATTTACACCAGAGATGAGTGAGGAGATGCACAACGCTACGATTTTAGGCGATACCAAAAGCATGGCGCTAAATCGTAGCGGCGAGTCCGGGTGTAGGATTTCGTGATCATCGCCTCTGTCGATGTTACAGATTTCGCGTAGCCGCGCGGGTCATGATCATCGTTCCAGCCGATATTGCAGTCAGCGAAAATGAATGCATTGCTCGGTGGTGGGCAAAAAGTTGCCGCCCTTCACAAACCGTTCTTGACAAACAGGCGGGGCAGCAAGGTCTTCCGTCCAACCGAAGCCTAAACATTTGTATAGACGTAATGAGCAAACAAATGTGTGTATTCAAATAAATTTCAAAGTTATAACAAATGCATAGAAATATTGAGTAGTTATACAAGGAGAGTTCTGGACCAAGATTCCTGCACCGACATATTACCGACCTGTGGGTTCTCATCCGTGCTAAGTTGGGACGTGGTGCCCCCTAGGTGAACGACGTTGGCGCCCCCTGGGTGAGCGACGTTGGCGCCCCCTGGATGAGGGATGTTGGCGCCCCCTGTGTGTGTGTGTGTATGGTAAGGTAGGGTGATGGGGCCCCGTATGAAAGATTTCTGCTTACCGACGGGCCCGAAATTTTTTTTGAAGAGGGTGCTGCGCGCGCAGTAGTCGACGGCGCCGACCCCTTCATCGGCTGACGTCATCGGCAGGGGGCCCTGGCTTTACGTCAGGTGTCAGGGATTTTACGTCAGGCGTCAGGGGTTTTACGGCAGACTTCAGAAATATTACGGCAGGTATCAGGGATTTTACGGCAGATTTTAGGAATTGTGTGGGTGGAATCTAAGAATCACTCAAAAAATGGAGAAATTCATTTAAAACGGTATATATTTTCACTCATCATAGTCATCCTCATTCACAAAAACAATAATTTTTATTTGTTCGTTTGATTTTCTTCTCCTACCCTTGAATTCTCAGGCTGACGCTCACCGGAGGATGAGTTTCCTGAAGAACCTCTTGCAGTGTTACCCTGATCCGATCTAGTAGGATTTCCACGTGTCGCTGAGTTTTCGAACGAATTATTGTTTGCGAATGTGATGCGACGATGCCTTTCAGAATCTGGGAGATCTGAACTACGCAGCCACTCATGATACCGATCTCTTCGAAACTGCTCTCTTTCTCTTGTAGCCCGCTCGCGTTCTGCTCCCTGTGATTGCCCCATTTGAGGTTATCTCGCACGTACCTTTTTCATTGATTATCACTCTTGGAATGATAGTATAATACAACTGTAACGTTATTTATATAGAAAAGGATTACTATAGGAGGTGGTGTTGGGAACAGGCTGCTTATGTTTGCTTAATTTAGTAGAAATATAAAATAGTACTTCAAGAATACTAATTTTATATATTTATTACATTAAAATTTTATAATATAAGTACATTCTGATCGTTGAGAAGATGATTATGATGATAATCACGAATTCGTTTTCCAATTAAACTGAAATATAGAATATATAGATTGATTTTTCTAATACTTTTGAAATGAGAAACAAATGTTTTTCCTTATACGTACCATTCACATCACTTAATCGCAGGAACCAAAACTCGTTGTTATTTCTTAC